TACTTTGGCTCTGGGTAGTATTTGGTGTCGTAATTCCACAAAGATGTCTTTATTTCGGAAATAATCAATGGTATTCGAATGGTACGCGAGCAAATACAATTTCATCTGTCGATTATTATTTGGGTCTCATTTAATGGGCCAGACTTTTAATTGAAATGACATAACAAAATGTATTGAAATTATATAACTTGAATTTCCAGTACTTTTTGTACGATGGAACCATCCCTACAACTGAATCCACCAGACAAGGATTTTCATAACGTCTATATTAATTGAGATGCAAAAACCATTAAGAAAGTGACTGTTTAGGTAAATAATACCATCCCTCGCTCTTTTAACCAATGGTAAACCACTCGATCATAACTGAAGGGTTCCACGTAGTTGAAAACCGGAGAAACTACGGAATTTTGCGACTACTTCGCTGTTAGAAATATGGTATACATAGTCACGTAGGTATTGCTTTCTCAGTATTAAAGTTGTTACGGCTTAGTATTAAAATTATACCGGTCCGTAAAAATTTGCTACCATCAACCATCATGGTAAAACTTTAATACCGAGTGATTATTGCACCGTACCACTTAATCACAATCACTTTGGTAAAGACATGAATATCGCTTGGCATTATTATGCTACTGGATTTCAAAGAGTGTAGTAGTATAGAATCTGTATAAAATCTGTATAAACCATACATACATAGGCACGGGAAAATAGAGATTACTTTTAAAAGTATAAAGTTTATCGATCTTTGGAGTGTTTATTTCCGGGGATTAAATTCCATGATGACGCTATGAAACATATTTTCACACGTAAATATGTCCCAAACCAAGTTTTATTCATCAAAATCATAAGAATTGCTTTAGAGCTACATAAATTTCTTAACGAATTATTTTTAGTGCTGGGCTGGATTTTATTTATTAATTATCAACCCTTTACATTTGTGTTTTTCTCAATCCAGTCCAGATAAGCAGATATCTTCGTGTACACGCCCGGATACCCCCGAGAAGCGCATCCAATACCTGAAAAAATAATTTGCCAATTATCAAAGGAATGAAGATATAATAATAATGATTTATTCACTTTTCAGTTGGTAGTAATACATTTCAAGAAGATCATTCATACCCTGAAGTTCAGGAAATACACGAATGTCTCACCAAGATCTTATGCATGCTCTCCTCCTTTGATCACACTAGATATTGTCAAGCTAATCACAAACTTATGTATGTACCTCGTATTTATAAACGCAATAATTTGAAAAGTACTAACTTTACAAATTTACTACGTATTGGAGGAAGTATACTATTTTTAAGTTATTTTGACTTTTTCATAATTTCATTTCTGCGAGATTTTTTTTAGATTAGGGATTTTTAAATGTATTTACGACCCTTTTGTTGTCAGCTTGTCCTGATGTGTATGATGTACGATAACGTGTGTGTAGTTATAATGTGAAATACATAAATACTTCAGACAGTATTTACTGCGTTGCCTACCATTAAGGCGCGCTTTCTCTTCTTAACGTAGGACTCGACGACTCATCGCCAAAATGGTAAAAATCCACAAATTTTTAATTATTTCTCGGCTCTTGGAATTTATTTTAAAATTATAAAAGACAAATTTGTAGTCACTAAGTTAATTAATTGAATGGCGGTTAGTTTTAAAGCCAGTTTCGCTCGATAAGTTCCAAGGTGTCTGATGAACTTGAGATCTCCTCTTTCAGACACCTTGGAACTCATCGAGCGAAACTGGCCTTAAAACTAACCGCCATTCAATTAATTAACTTAGTGACTACAAATTTGTCGTTTAAAATAAATCCCCAGAGCCGAGAAATAATTAAAAATGTGCGGATTTTTACCATTTTGGTGATAAGTCATCGAATCCTACGTTAAATTGCTAATTTCTCTGCCAAATAAATACCCTCTTTAGGAAAATTAATTGAATTTGTCATCAATTGATACACAAGTTTTACCAAAATCTGAGAGCATCTCAATGGTTAGACATTCACTCAAATACGAAGATCAAAATTAGTAATTTTAAGCCGATAATTTAACCAGTTAAATTTTTTGATGTTCAAACTTGAAAAAAATTAATGAGTGATCCATGTACATATTTACACTCTTAGAAATCCAGTGTTAAAATAATACCAGGCGGTATTCATGCATACATATAAATACAGGGTGTTAATAAAGTCCGATCCCATTTTTCCTGTAAAAAAGTGAAGGCTAGTATAAAAAAAACTACCCGTGATACTTACAAAAAATGTTCGACATATTTACCTTAGTATTTGGTCTTGTTACCATTTACTTTAACCATGCCCTCAACTCTTTGTTTAAGGCTCTGTGCTAATTTTTCCAATGTGCCTCTGGAAATCGAATTCCATACATCTTGAACTTTTTTTTACTAGCTCTTCCCTCGTCCGGGGTTGTGGCTCTTTGTATACATTTTCCTTAAGTATGGACCACTGGTTCTTCAGGGGATTCAAATCTGGGCCGTTAGCGGCCCACACCCCCTTTCTCCAGACCGTTGAAACTTGCGTCTTGATGAGACTCAAACTCGCTTTTGCTGTATGGGCTATAGCACCATCCTGCATGAAAACTATTTTTCTTTCATTCGGAAATATTTCCTTGTTCCCCATGCTATCGAAATAGATAGGTAATATTTTTTCCATATAATGCTTTGCATTGACTGATTGGCCTTTTGGTATGATATGTAGAGGGGTCACGCAACGTGCACAAAATCCACCCGCTACCATAACTTTAAGCCCGAATTTTGGGATCGCTCTTGATGGTACATCCGATTTGTTTTCTGTCCTGTAACGAACATTTTGTTGGTTCAATTTTGGATATAGTTCAATAATAGATTCGTCAGTCCAAAGGATGTGACTGCGCAATTCTTCACCAAGTCTTTTTTCACTCAAATGGGCACTTTTCTGAAGGAGTTCTTCAAATTTCAGACGGTCATCGATATATTTTTGTGACATGAGAGGTTTTTTTGGTTAGTTTGTAAGCTGTGTGACCCCACTTCGTAGTTTTCACAAATTTTTGCACGGTCACACAGTTAATTTGCTTCTTCTTCTCTTTATAGCGTTTTGAGTCATTTAACTCCCTTGCTCAATTACGTAATGAACTACCGGTTTTCTTGCAAAGTCTGTTTTTAATCATTCTTTTTGTGGTAGGTGACACCTTTCTGGGTCGCCCTGGTCGCTTTTTGTCGTGGACAAAATTTTTATTCTTCCATTTCCAAACAGTTCTGCGGCTGCAGCCCAATTTTTGCACAATTTCTGTAGGTTTAAGCCCCTGCTTATGCAATGTTTGTATCTCAACTCTAAGATGCTCATGACTTACACGTTTAGTTGTTCCTCCCATGGTAAAAATTTGAAATAAATAACTTCACTGGTTCAAAAGTTCCAGCTGAATTTGTAACAACCACGCTCCAAAAAATGCATGGGATCGGACTTTATTAACACCCTTTAGTTGCGTGATCATATTCGACATCAAACTCAACGTTTTTGAAATTTCACATTTTTTAAGTTAATCAACTGCAAAATAAGTCCACAAAATGAGTAAAAATGATTCAATCTTAAGAACATTTTCAAACATATCTAAAACCATAAAAAAGCTGATATTGCGCTTGAATATGATGATGCAACTATTTTTCGTCCCCCTGAATGGTTTAAATATCAAGGAAATTAAAAACAAGAAGAATTAATTCAAATCTGGATTTGGGTCTGGACAAAAACGGATAATCCGAAATCCGGATTTGACAATTTGGAACGGATTCGACAGCCCTAAAATTTAATCGAGGTTGAGCGGAAATTTAACAATGTGGGTTAAATTTTGACTTTCATATGATAAATTTTACACCACAGTTGTATGATCCCAAATTTTACTCAATATTTAGAATGTAGGAATATACTAACAATGGAGGCCCAAACTATGTTCAGTCAAGATTATTTTTTGACCATGTTAGTTTGAAAGAGCAAGTCTTTAGAAACAACATTTGGTCCGAAACTCGCGCAGAATTCAGCACGTTAGGGGCGCCGCAAGTTCGCAAAACCGCATGATTTTCATGCAATGTTCACCACGAGCTCAGATTTTTTCCGTCTCGCTTGCTCGCTCTCTCACTCCCACGCAAGGACATTGACCCCACAACCCCTGGACGATTCGCATTTTTAATCAATAACGCTGAATTGCCATATTTTTAACTATAAATTTTGAAATTATTTCACCCACTTTCGTAATTTGATACGATTGTTTCTTGTACTGGAAATCAATAATCATCACTCTTTCTTTTGCATAATCATTTTTACTCTTGGTTTACAATACATGCAGTGAATTTACATATCCGTCGAAAGAGGAGGGACAAATTGCAGAAATTCGATTTCAAAAACAAGAATCACTTATTTTTGAACATATTTTTCGTCAAAAAACTCGAAACTGATTGAAATCAATATTTCGTCTTTCATATGAAAATTTTAATTGGTTGCCATCAGGTTTAATTACGAAATCTACATACATCGTACCTAAGAGGAATTTAAGTAAAAAATCAGTATTATGAAAGAGGTTAAGGAGCACAAAATGCAAAATTGCGAATGACAAAATCTTAGCAATTCGGCGTTATTGATTTAAAATGCGAATCGTCGAGTGGTTGCGGGGTCAATGTCCTCGTGTTGGAGTGAGAGAGCGAGCGAACGAGACGGAAAAAATCTGAGCTCGCGGTGATCATTAATTAAAAATCATGCGGTTTTGCGAACTTGCGGCGCCCCTAACGTACTGAATTCTGCGCATCTGCGCAAGTGCCGGACCAACTGTTCTTTCTAGATACTTGCTCTTTCAAACTGACATGGTCAAAAAATAATCTGGGCTGAACATCGTTTGCGCCTCCATTGTAAGCAATGTGCAAATTATGTAATTGTTTACTTTGTACAAGTTTTTATTTCGTAAATAAGGATGAATTTTGTGTGCATACTTACGGATGTTAAATTAGGTTAAGGTTTTAATGCATGTTTTATTTTATCCATTACTTCACCATTCCAATTTTGTGTATGTATGTACATATGTGCATATTTATTAGTCGTCTTAGAAATTAACAAATCGTATCTAACTATATACTTGTTTTGTGTACAATATTGACGACCCAAGTATCTACGACGCAATTATGTATGCTTTATGGTAGAATACAATTTTAGTCGAAAGGAAATAATGCAAGGCTACGTTTAAATAACTCCTTGAAATATTGTACTTAGTTTATATAATTCATTTCAAGGTTTAAGCTACATTTGGCAAGATCCTAATTAACTTAATTCCATTACCGAATCACATAAATGTATGTGAAGCGTAATACATAAATACAAAATCTGATTTGAATTTCAAGTACATTTTTATAATCCTTAATCTTGACGACGGTTTGTAAGTAAATGTAGAAATAAAAATAACTTTAAAAATGGACTATACATTTGTTCATTAGTGTATCGTACTGAGCATATTTTATATAGATCCCGATGTCAAGTCCCTCCAGGTCAAAAAAAGGCGAAAGGTGTGAGCGAAACGATGGATGTTGACACGGAACCAAACTCACATTCATCAATGATGATTCTTGATTTATTTTTCAATTGTTTAGCTTCACACTGAGTTAGCATGATTCCTTCGTGTTGACCCAGAATTCTGATTCCATCGGTACATTGCACGCTTGTCAGTACTGCATGGTCACCACGAACATATACCTCGTTGCATTTAATATTTTCAAGTTTGCAATGCAATCCTAGCACATGTAAAGAAAATCTTGTTGTAGGAAACGAGGGTTTGTTTTGCCGCGGTTTTAGTGTTTGGCTTAACGTTTCAAATCTCGTACTGGAAACGGTATGATTTTTGCCGTAGCAAAATAGTTGAACCAGCCCATTAGTGACGACTAAATTAGATAAGGTGCAATGGGATGAATTATCGGTGAAAATTACTGCAACATCAGCGGCCGAATGGTTTTCTATCTTCACGCTATCTATTGAATTGTAACTGCCCAAGATTTCAATTTGGCGATAAAAATACATGTCGGGCAACGGGCTTTGATAAGCTAAAACTGCGACTTCAATGTCGCTGAGTTGATTTTTGAAACCCACTAATGCGATCCTATTGCGCCTGACCCCCGTCTGAGAAAATTTAACTTTCAGATTTGAAAGAATGCAAAGGTTTGACTCGACCTCGATGGAGTTGGAATAACCTAAATCAATGACAGTGTTTGATCCTCGACCAACAATCGTGATGTTGTCAGTGCTCAGGTAAACGCTGCATGAGTAAGTGCCCTCCTCAAGGTTAATGGTAGATCCAGGTGATGCAAATTCGACACATAGGGTCAACTCCTCACTTGTTTGGGCAACAATTTTTTGCGCGGGAATTGGTCTCATGGGCTCGGACAGTATTTCGGCAATTTGATGCACGGATTCGAATCTATTTATCGGGTTCCTCTTGGTGCATAGAATTATAATTTTTCGTAATCCATCCCCCAGAAGGGGATGCTCCTCGACTAATTCTTCATTTCCATCGTTCACCAATTTGTCGAATAAACCGGGCTTCCTATCTGCTTGGATTAAGGCTGTTAGTTCCCAGATAACTAGCCCAAGCGAGAACAAGTCTGCCTGGTAGGAGTATTTTCCATCTGATACTTCCGGCGCCCTATACCCTCGGGTCCCTACACTCCTCGTGAATGTGCTGCCATCTTCAGGGAACATCCATCTCGCCAAGCCTGTTGAAAATGTGCACAATTAACTTTGAAAATACGTTACATATGTTTTGCATACATACCGAAGTCGCCGATTTTTACGGGCAGATCGTACTCGAATGTGGTAAACATAACATTGTCTGGTTTAAGATCGCGATGAATTACTTTATTATTGTGTAAAAATTTAAGGCCCGCTACCAAACCAGTCACTATGGCAGCTTGCTTCATTTGAGTATACATAGAGTCGATTGATGGTTTGAACACTTCCAGCCAATGTTTCAAACTTCTTCCGCAGAGTTCCATTTGGATGCAAGTCCACTCAATGGGTGACCCCGTGAGTAGCTTCTCTTTATATCTAGCTTCAACAGTGGGTGGGGATAATGCCAGAATTTGCTTCATCTGGGAAGTTGACAGTACTTTGTTTTCCACGGATTTGTAAATCTTTACGATGTTCTTGTGATTCTTCAGAGCGAGGGGAATTTCCAACTCGCGACGTGTCTGACTTTCAGTCAGCATTTGATTGGGGAGCAGAAGTTTAACGGCGTAGAAATCTGCGAAAATTTTTGCTTTTAAAACGACCCCAAACGAGCCGTAACCCAGGAAGGATGCGAAGGATGTTATCTCGTCAGTAAAATCAGGACGAGGTTTGTCAACAGGTCGAACGGTTGACAGGCCACGCTGTGTAAGGAAAGATTTTCCTGGAGGTTTTCCAGGCATGGTAATATTTTCTAGTAATATTTTACTGGTATTACTGGTAATATTTTGTGTGGCCAATATTGGACCGAAACCGGAATAATGGCGAGACTGGTTATTAAACGGTGAGTGAAGTAATGCGTAGTTGGTGATGTGGCTCCTGCTCAGGCCCCGATTTTGGGGGGGGCAAGCGGGGCAATAGCCCAGGGCGCCAAAACACCAGGGGCGCCGCCAGGCGCCCAAGCGTGCACTAGATCAGATTTGGTGTCACCGTCCCCAGTCTAATCTTAAAATTCGTAAGAATGAGTGGCATTCTAGGGTCCCAGCGTGCCAGAAGAGTTTGTGGAAATACTTGATTTTATGCATAACTTTTTATTTCCCATGGCTTTATACTCGTCAATGAATCATACCGAAGCAAGTTATGCAGCATTGTGCTCGCTCTGACACATTTATAGCCCGAGTGAGGGCTTATGGAATCGTATTGTCCGTGTGTCGTCTGTCTCCAAGTTTATTTCTGTTCTACTCGTCTGATCGACTTGAAATTCAGCATGCACTTCAAAAATGTCAACAGAGGCATGCTATGAGAAATGTGCGATTACGCGTTTCATCGATTACACCAACCTAAGCATAAAATTTTGAAGCAAAATTTCGGGTGCAACCATGAATGTAGTATAGCTACTAAAGGGCGTTTTTCCGGATAGTGACGAATTTGTCGTTATATAATCCCGGAACTGTTGGCCGTAGCGGGCCAAAATTCTTAACACTGGGGCATGTTGTCCTAGGGTAGAGGGGTGCAAAAATCCAACTCTCTACTTTCAAAAATGCCTCCCCCACAACCCCCAGAAGTGGAGTCAATCAATTCAACTCTTTCCAAACTCCGTCTAAGAAAATTGGTGCCCGCAGAAAAAAATTTCTCAAAGAAGTCCATTTGACTAATATTGGACTTGTAGAGGTATTTCATTATTCAAAATGATTTTGATCCCCAATCTAGCTTCAAGGTCATTTGCCTTATCTTGGGTCAACTTGGGAAGACGCTGCGTCACTTTAAAAAATTTCCTCATTTCTTTTTGACCGTGCTATTTAGGAAAATGTTGCTGTAGACGATCCACATCATACTTTGCAGATACGTTCACTTTTTGGGGGACTTGGATAAGTGGGAGGACACCACGACGGGACATTGCACCACAATAAACTTCATACAAAAGTTCTCTTCACGGTGAAGCACCAACTTGCGTGAATTTTTCCGGCATTTGTCATGTAGTAAGCTCTTAGAACGGCAGTAGTAATTTGTAGGAAAGTGAGTGCTTCGTCAACAAATATCCATTATTCCCCAATAGAAAATTTAAATCAAATTTTTTGCAAACACGGGCGAAATTTATTTTCTATTTTTCGGTCAGCTGAAGCACACGAGGTTTCCAACGAAGTCGTTTCTTCAAAATATTAATTTATCCTTCAACTGAACGCTTTGACCTCCCACCCTTACTGGAAATTCCCTTTTGGGTCGGTGGATTGTGCTTTGAGGTCACTAGGTCAATTTTCCTAAGCAGGGGCAGAATTAACACTTTTTTTGCCTTCTTCAAAGGGGTGGTGATTGTCCTTCAGTCAAAATTTCTCGCTTACGACCAATATTCTTCAATACCTTACTGATTCCATATTTCGAAACTGTTTTCCCTTCACTTTTAAAATGTTTAGTAATCCGGTTTGGCAACTATTTAAGTTTGGAAAGAATTGAAATGAGTGACTCAACTTCATAGGGCCGTGGAGGAGGCATTTTTCAAAGTATAGAGTTGAACTTTTTCACACCTCAATCCAAGGACAACATGTTCCTGTGTTAAAAATGTTGAGCCGCTACGACAAACCGGTACGGGTTTATTCAACGACAAATCCGTCACCAGCCGGATTTTAGTACAACTACTTTTGCAAAAAATTAACAACATTTTGTAGTTAACTGGTATAAAAGCATAAAAAACTAATTTAGCAAGTAAGTTGTGGAAATGCAAGATTTTTGGAGGGACTGGGGCGTCTCATATGGTTGCCCAGGGCGCCAAAATCCAAGATCGGGCACTGCTCCTGCTTATCATCTCGAGATAAAAACTTATCTCGGAACATGTTAACATAGATTGCATTCCTGCAAGCAATTGCCTTTGCCATGGTAACGGAGTAAATAATAAGTTTATACGATTTAAAGTAATCAATCATTTTGACCAGAAATAAAGTTCTGATGAGCATTTATTTTATTAAAAATCAAGAAAATCTCAATCAAATAATAACAAAGAGATATAATTTAAAGAATTTATATATAGGTATTAAGAATTTATTGATGCTAATTTTGTGCATGCTCTCTCAGATCATAACATGCTCACTATTTTCATTCGTAACTTTAATTGTTTAATTTATCTACATATTTATTTATATTCAGATTAAAACGTATTTATCATGAGCTTGAGATTAATTGCGTAAAGTCAATTTCAGTACCATATGTAAGCTAGTCAATTTCTGACTACAATTAAGCTTATGACTTCAATACCTATACTCTCTAATATTCTGATTACTTACTTTGAGCCACAAACTTTCTGCCGGTAAAAAACAAACAGGGATCACAAATGCAGAAAAGGGACTGCGGGGTACTAAAACTATTTGATATCCGACCTCTAACATTACTATGGGTTACAGAGGTCAAATTTTATAAGTAGGAAAAAATAGACTTTCATACATACAGTTAGAACCACAATTGACCGACCAAGATTTTCCTCCGCGTGGTATGGAATATTGTCGGGTTACCAGTACTCGTAAACATTTAACTTTGTACATATTTTGTAGATAATATAATGCACTTTAAGCTAATATGAAGAGCAGGATGATAAAAAATTTGCTGATGGGGCAATCAACTTAAAACCACAACCCCGGTAAAAATAGTGCGTCAAAATTAACCGACCGCGTATACGAATGTCTATTTTTTTAGTGATACACAATTTTCTTGAGGTAAGTTGGTTTTTAAACAACATATTTAACATTTTTTTAAAATATTTTGAGATTTTAATTACAGATAACTATATGGGGAAGAAAAGATCTGAAGTTCCAACTCCTGTTCGCGACCTAATCATTCAAAGGTGGAAAGGGGATGAAACTAGCAAACTGACGGAGAGGTAAATTTCTGAAATTTACAAAATCTCGAAGTCCACTGTCCACGGCATCATCCAGAAGTTTAAAAACACAGGATCTGTTGAAAACAAGAAAGGCGGAGGAAGAAAACCCATCCTAACGGAAATAGAAAAGCGACGTGTGGTCAGGCTTCCTCACTAGGATGGTTCTGAACGGCTTAGAAGGGGGCAATAGGTTAGAATAAAATCTTGTTTCCAAAAATCTGCCAAAACATGACACCCGTTTTTTATGATGAAAATATTACTTTAAGATAATATTAAATATTTTGAGAAACTAAAAACGCGAAATTTTTCGATTTTGCAAAACAAGAGCCAAATCTGTTTAACTAATGACGTGGATACTCCCCAGTGTGTTTAAGAACGGGTTTATTTTGGGTTGGTGGTGGTGGTTGGATTTGGGGGCTGTACGCCACACGATGTCACCTGTTTGGACGATTTTTTTAAAATCTTGCGTACATTGTAAGAATCATTAAAATACTCTGTGGGTGTGGTTTTTATGGGTGCGGATGGGGTAAGATGAGATTATGCGTTTAAATGGCATGTATTTTCTGCCATTACACACACTATGAAATAATTTAATTTTTTGTATTTTAGTTCTTTTTATTTTTAAAAATTTCCAAGCTTGGTCGGACATTTTTGACAGATCGAATTAAACTTTTTTTTAGTTTTGCCAATAATGTTTTCCTATAAAAATTTTTGTCAACCCAATCGTCATATAGGCTTGTATGTACCTATGTATGTACTTCGGAATGTAATAAATAAAGGAAACCCTGAAATGTGTTACAAAATTATGTAGCCCAGTCTGGGTTTTTTGTGGGACCGAACTATGATCTCGGCAAAATGTAATATGTGCGCACGTATCACTACTAAATAAATTAAATTCACAATAATCTATCTATAAGACCGTACAAAGTAGAGGAGATAGTTATACAAAATTTAATATACTTTACATCTCTACATACATAACGAGTTAATTAGCATAAGCAGAGTATCTACATGATTTAATACTCACATGATATATCATGTCAGATATTCCTTGTGTAATAAATCAATAAATAGAGTGACAAATACGTAGTAAGTTTTACTTACGTCTGGACAGTGGCAAAAGGCAGATACATACGTATTTACGTAATCGTGTACGATGCATTTTACGTCGTATTTAATCCTCTTCCTCGTATTGAGTGGATTTGGTCAAGTGGTAAGTAAATATCTAAATAAATATGGAATTATTTGGCGATAAAATTTTAGAATAAATACAATTTTGGGTCAAAATGTGGGGTATTATGTGCACTTTGAGAAATCCAGTATTAAAATAATACCAAGCGGTATTCACATATCATGCTACCAAAGTGGTAGTAATTCATAAGGAATATGTAGTTACGTTGTAGTAATAGATAGTTCGATATTGCATAAAATGTTACCATATCAGTAGTAAATTTTAACGGACTGGAATAGTTTTAAGATGTAACAAGTGTTAGGAACCTTAATAACTAGAACTGAATACCTGCTGGACAATACCAGAATTATCAGAGTACATGTACACTAGGGAGCAAAATTGTTCGGGCAAGGGTAACGTCGAAATTCAAACGACAATAACTGAGTAACTGGCGAAGGTATCGATTTCAATTCTTTTGCAGTTTATGCACCATTTAGTTGTCTTTAAGTAGTATTAAACCCGTTTTTGAAAAAGTTCACATTTTCATATAAACCAAATAACACTGAAAAAAGTGAGAAAAAAGAGAGCAAAATATGATTTTATTGTAGCACTGCAGGTATATTTTTTGTTAAACCTAAAAAAGTGTACTAGATTATATGTTGGGCCTCCATTACTAGAAATAACTTCATCGGAAAGGCACTGAATAGATGCAACGCATTTTGAGGCGATTTAATCACCAACATTTTCACATGCCTCAAAATTTTTCCGCCTCAGGTCCCCCACGGCTGAAGTTTTGGATCTTGGATTTTATTTTTCGTCAATGCCACCAGGGGTTCAATTAGGTTAAGACTTTTGCTTTGTGGGGGCTAGTTGAACACTCCAACATGTTTTTTTGGCGTAGATTTTAGCTTGGGGTGGTAGTCTTACGTAGGTCTGAATCGTCGACCAAGACCCTGAGAGGTGAAAGAAATTGTTAGATTTATGTTCAATGGACCCTGATAGACAAACTAGTTCATGGGTCAATCCAGAAATTCGAGAATTCAAGGAGAGACAGAGCAGGTGCACTGGCAGGTCATAATGCTGCAACCACAATGCTGTTCGGCAGCTTGCAAATTCTTCATTATTGGTGCTTTCCCTAACTTTCTCAAAACTAGTGCACGTCAAGAAGATTCAAAAATGTCGAAACTTTCCTCGTACCATTCGATTGATTTTGAAAAAATTTTGTTTCTACGAAACATGGGCCCCTCCGAAATTTCGTGTTTTTCCTTCATTCAGTTTGCTGCTGAGTTTCGTTTTCCTACCTTGAATTTTTTCAAACCCTGCAGTTTTCAGGGCTATTGCTTATGCAAATCGACGTGCCGACTATCCAAGTTCATTTTAATCCTCAGTTGTGATTTTGGGTCCTGAAAGTCAGTGCGTGGCCTTCACTTTCCTAACGATTTCTTGCTATACTTCGCATGGAACCTTCGACATTTTTCCTGTTTCTTGGATGCTACAGTTGTACCAGTCTCTCTATATTTTTTCATCGTCGAATGGACATAGGGCCCCTATGATAGGGGTACGAGTTACAACGTATTTTGGAATTTTCACATTGCGTCCTCTTCTAGTATACCCTGGATTTCCAATGCTGGATTAAGAGGTCGAGCACCTCAATGAGAATTTCTCCTGACTGTCTTCCCATGAACTTGCAAGTTTCAAAATTGGTAAATTGACAAGACAATAACATGGTTCATTAAAGATAAGGAACAATTTTTACTTATCATGGCAATTTTTGTAAACATTAGCGTATTTAGAAAAAAATCCGAATAATTTTGCTCTCTTTTTTTCTGACTTTTTCCACTATTATTTGGTTTATACGCAAATCTGAGCTTTTTCAGAAATCGGCTTAAAACAAGTTAAACACTACTAAATGGTGCATAAACTGCACACGAATTAAATCTGTATCTTCCCCAGTCACTTCTTGGAATTTGAATTTCAAGGCTCGCATTGCCCGAACAATTTTGATCCCTAGTGTATGTATGTATATAAATGTAATTTGGATTTCACAAATGAATTTAATTTGAAAAGTGATATTTATTTAACAAATAATTTTACGTGATATTTATAAATGATTATCTAATTGGCTGATGTCTATAGTTTTTACTTGGACACTACATAAATTCTCTGCAATTTTTTTTAGAGAAGGCAAGAAATTTAGCAAATGTTTCTGGGAAAAATCCTGCCAACCTTACCGTTTTAAATTTGTCCTTGGATTTTTGAATTCGTTTAGATAGAAAGTGCGGAGCAGAATGGAGACAAGCAAAACTTGAGTGATATTTTGAAAGTGGTGAGATCACAGTATTTTTTAATTTCTGTTTTTTTTTTACATATTTATGACACAATTTTATATTTTTATAAACAAAGTTTGATGGATTAGCCAACATTCCCACGAAGGATGACTTGGCCGCGTTAGAGACGAGATTAAGTGCGAGATTCGACCGACTAAAATCTGATTTGGAGGCATTAATCAATAGAGCAAGTAGGCAAGAGGAAGAAAGTCGCGACCGTGAAAATAATCATGCAAGGAAGCGAAGGTCGATGCAGGTACGTCGTTTTGTAGATTCCCGGAAATTTTGGTATGGAAATTTGGGTATGGAAATTTGGGTATAAGGAAACATTTCCGAGACCCAAATTTCCGTACCCAAATTTCCGTATACCGTTTTATACTATATCCTCCAACAAATCTGGCTAACCGTCCCGAGGAAATTGCAAATATTGATTGGTTATCGTACATTGTACGTGGGTTGATCGATGCTTACAATTTTAACAACTAAGGGATGAACAACATAAGTTAATGGGTTAGGCTGACTACTGAAAGTATGTATAATTAGTTATGCAAAAATATCAACTAATTGTCTTACAATGCGATGGTGTGAAGTGTAACCCTCCAATTTGGCTGAAATTTTGAAATTATGTGGTCCAGATCAATACATCCATCGTTTCTTGAGGCAGTTTGTGCGATGGTGGGAATTAGTCAAAATATTTGAGCTCAAAGTTGAAAAATGGGCGATGTTTACCAAGCGGAGGAAGCAAACTCCACTCCCATTCCCTTGGAATGGAAAAATCTCCCGTTTTTCAACTTTGACGTCAAATATTTTGACTAGTTCCCACCATCGCACAAACTGCCTCAAGAAACTTTGGTTGTATTGACTTGGACCACATAATTCCAAAATTTCAGCCAATTCGGAGGGTTACACTTCACACCATCGCATTGTTAGTTACAACTTGCCCTGTTACCTTTCAGATACCAGATTTCGTCGCAGCAGATTACAGGTTGGGCATACTAACGACAGAAGTACGAAAGGTAAGTATCTGCCTAATTTTAAGTTATACTCAATTTACTGGTATTAAGATTTGTCTTTAATTTATGAATATGTACGACCCGAACTTTCTATAATTTAATATTGACCACTGAATAGCAATATTTTCGTACATAAACACGTTCAAAAAACTCTAATACTTTGACATAAATAGCTTCTAAATTTTGAGAAGGCTGAATTTTTCCACTTTTCTGCATCGGAGTCAAGTACGGATTATGTATAGAAGTAAATGAATATGCATGTATGGTAACCAATCAAATTTGAAACTAGTGTGCATATGTAGCTAAAAAAAATTAGTACCATACTTATGTACTAAATTTTATTTCTCCTCTTGTGCAGTCTTCTTTTAACGAGACGTGCCAATTTGTCGAGAAAATCTTCACCGTTCAAAATGAGCAGGCCGCAGTCTTGGAGGAAATAAGGAACACTACCTCCAAAATATTTCAAAAGACTGTTTCCACCCTGAACGAGACTGAAGTATCCACTCCGTACGTGTTCGAAATTCCAGACCCAAGGACTGGCCGCCTAACGAAATTCTGCGGGGATGATTTAGATCTTGCTGGTTCAACATTCCCCAAAAAACCAGTAATTAAGAACTTACATGGATACTTAATTATACATAATTTACAACTCATAGTCCTTCTACGATTTTGACGGGATCAATTTGAAATTGCTCGCGTGCTGAAATAAGCGGCTAAGTTTTTAAAATTTTGAAGTAGATATGTACAATTCGAAAAAATAGAGCAATATAAAAAATCCTGATTTGGAGTATCTTTTTTTAAAATTCCGATATGAACGATAGGTACGAAACAGGTCGAAGCCGATAAATTTTCGTCGGCCAGTTTTTGGTGATTTTTCGCCAGCGTCGGAGGCGTGGTAATGTTAGAGGAATAAGAAATCAAATTTTTCGGCGGCAGCGGCGCGTTCGGCGTCGCACGATCGGCGGTGTCGATCGCTGGTACGAAATCACAAAAAAAATGAAATACAGGTCCCCTTATTTCTGTGCGCGAAGAATTTGAATTTAGCTCTGTCAATATCAGAAAATAACATTCCTACACACGTATTTTGACCCCACCACAGCTCAGTTGCGACAAAGGGTGGATCAAAATTCAGCGAAGAGGTACTCCAACGGCGGGCTGGAAGGAGAGAACCAATTTCGAGAGAAATTTTACCGATTATGCGAATGGATTCGGTGGCCACCTTGACGGCGAGGATTTCTGGATTGGTTAGGCTAAAAATATCTCGAGTGGATAAATTGCTAATGGAGTCGTAACCAATTAGTATTAAATCTAGGCTTGGAAACAATCCATGCGCTAACTAAGGCGGGATATACGCAATTGCGGGTAGATCTCGAGGATTGGGAGGGAAACAAAGCATACGCGATGTATAACGAATTCAAAGTGGGTGGTGCACTGGATAAGTACAACTTAACGGTGGGAGGATACAATGGAACAGCCGGTTAGTTTATGAAGAGACGGAGGGAAACGATTTTTACATATAGGCAGAGTGTGCAAAAAGGCGCCTTTTTGGGAAAAAATTCATGCCTTATTGCCGTTTCAATGCCGGATTGCCTTTTTGCTTGCCTTTTTGCCCGTTTGATGCCTTTTTGCCTGTTCCCGTATGTTTCTATTGGACATTGCCTAGAGCATATTACAAATTTTACTATGGACAAGAAAGAGTGATAACAGTGTAATTGGCTTCATATTTCGGTATCTCTAAAACGTACTTCTCCGTAGCTCCTTCACAAGATTATGTACTAACTCACTCATGATAATTACGAGTATTTGTAAATATTTATAGATATACCTCAAGATGTGTATGATTTCTGTAGTGGTGTCTACAATGACTAAATTGTCCACGTGTCGATAAATCATGTGAACTATGAAGATTATAGCTAGGAAAGGATACAATCGTATTATCACATTGCCCCGAAATTGCCAAAAAGGCATTTCGGGCAATCGGGCATGGTCAAAATTCACGTGCCTAATAGGCAAAAAGGCATTTTAGGCACGGCATGCCTTTTTGCCCTTGCACACTCTGCATATAGGTTGTGCAGGTTATGGGCAAATAGGCCACTCATTTTGAGAGGTTATTAAAAAAAGATCATCTATTGGGCAAAGTTCTGAGACAAACACAATGCAAAATATGCAGCCTTACTATCTTCCGCTTGGAATTTGTCGTTGTTTTTAGTTTCAAAGGAAATATTTGACATTTTTCGTGAAACTCTGAAGATACGAGTAAATATGTACTTAAGTTTGTAGGTATTCTCCATTCGCGCCAAGTTGAACTTTTACAGAAATTGAGAATTCTAAAAAATTACACCACTGCCAGTCTCAAAGCCTCCCCTGCGAATAATTTGAGGCAATTTGAGACTGACAGTGGCGTAGTTTTTCAGAATTCTCAATTTCTGTAAAAGTTCAATCTGAAAAACCACGCCACTGTCAGTCTCAAATTGCCTCAAATTATTCGGAGGGGAGGCTTTGAGACTGGCAGTGGCGTAATTTTTTAGAATTCTCAATTTCTATAAAAGTTCAACTTTGCGCGAATGGAGAGTACGCACTTTGTCAGTAAAAATTTAAATGACTGGTTCTATTTATGTAGTATTCAATGGAAATTTAATAAGCTGAACCTAACCTTCATATCAATTAATTAACCAAGATGCGAGACAGTTAGTAAATAGTCACTGATGACTAAATATGTGTTTTCAGGAGATTCCCTTAGCCGAAATTCGGGGAAAAAGTTTACCACATTCGACAATGATAATGATGAAGACAAAGTTATTAATTGTGCTTCGCAACGCCGGGGTGGCTGGTGGTACTGGAATTGTTCTGAGGTATAGTAGACTTCGATAAAGTCGCGTTTTGCATTACACATATGATAACAACTTGCTATTCATTCACAGAGCCAGCTGAACTCCATGTATCACACTTCCAGCCGAGAGGAAAAACCTTACACGGGAATTATCTGGTACCACTGGAAGGGCCACGAATACTCGTTGAAAAAGGTGGAAATGAAGATTCGCAAACCATCACAAGTCATCTAACTGGAATTTCGGAACTCAATAACTGGCACCGCTAAAACACAGACGTTCCATCGTCACAGTTTTACGATGAATGTACATGTGTAGATTATATAAATAAACATGCACAACATTGAAATTCGACTGCTGGCTGGGTATTCATTTTTTTGGCGGTTCACACATACCTGTTGAAAAAAACTTTTTTCATTCAAAGTTCACTCATCCCGATATCTGAGTGAAGATTTTCATTCACATTCAGTCATTTTCGCTCAAATTCATTTCATTTCACATCATCTGGCTTCATTTCTTATATCGCCCCATGTTTTAAGCATAGGGTGAAAAATGAAAGGAGTGAGAAATCTTTCATTCACACTCACTCCTCTGAAACGACTGAATCTTTCGCTCATTTTCATTCACATCACAGGAAATTCATTTTCATTCACGATCAATCTCTATCATAATCAATCACATGAATGAAAGTGAACAGGTATGGGTTCACATACTGTGTTTGGTTCCTCAGTTGGTATGCACATGGACACTAATGACATACATATGTGTGTTTAGCTGAAATAAAAAAGCATGCACAATTTTTTTCAAAATATTTGACGCTTAAATAACACTACTATGATCCACAAACTCTGTCATCTGTGCCCGTAAGAAACTGTGGGATTCATTAATGCAAAAATGGACTGTATTTAGGGTACTGCATACAAATTTGGAACTCCATAATGCGGAAAACAGCAAAAAAACATTTACATCAATTTTGCTCCAGTAAAACAATTCGATATATATCCGACCTCTGGCATGTTATTTGTTATGGGTTGCAGATATTTATCACATATCGAAAAATTCTATAGGGAAAAAATTGACCTTTGTATCGAAATTGGACGAGTACGTTATGCATGGTCCTACATGGCTATTAAATAAAGAATAATAACGAGCAAATAAGAAATCCTGCCACGTCTTGCAGAATTATGCATTCATGACCAGTCTAATTTTTTGCGGGCTCAAACTTTGAGCTTGGCAAAAAGTAATGTGTGCAGTGCACGTATTGTTAAATTAAATTCGCAGTAATCTATCTGCAAGAACTTACCAAGTAAAGGAGATCATTCTGCACATTTCAACGTACACTTCATATACATATACATAATTAGCATATTACACAGATCTGTAAGCATAATATCTACAGAAGTACATACTCAAACATGTTTGTTAATTGCACGTATCTATGTCCTTCTGTAAGAAATCAATAAATAGAGAAACAAATACGTTGTAGGTGTTAATGTAATCAAAAGGCGTATTTATCTATTCGTGTGTGATGACTTCTACGTCGCATTTAATCCTCCTCCTCGTGTTGAGTGGATCTTGCAAGGTGGTAAGTGGTTATCTAAATATGTACGTATACATATATCTGTACAAATATCGGGTATTATCTTCACTCCTTGAAATCCAGTAGTAAAATAATACCAAGCGGTATTCATACATACATATATTTACCCTAACAAAGTGGTAGTATTTATATAATAAGGAATTAGCACACATACATTTTAGTATTTGTAGCAGTAATTATCAGGAAAAAGCAACTGGTAGAAATTACTGCAAGAAATGTTTTTTATGAGTTACTTCTTGTACGAGTACGGTTGGGCAAGCCAGCCAACAAATTTCCGCTAGTTTCTGCTTACTTCCCGTCCGTATGCGTCACATGGGGGGGGGGCAATTAGTCTATGGCCTCCCATTGAAACCCATACGGGTAGGAAGAAAAAATCATAGTATGTAAATTTGTTGGCTGACCTGCCCAACCTTGCGTGGCTACCGTAATAAGAAATGCAACAAATCAAGCAACCCATTTTAGATGTAGCAATTTTAATACAAAGGTTGGCGAACTTTTCTTGTATTACCCGCACCTTGCATTTTTGAATGTTTTTTTTAAATTCAAGAAATTCAGAATAATTTCAAGAAATCATGCACCGTTTTTAAAAATCCTGCCCACCCACCCGTTTTAAATTCGTGCCTGGATTATGTACTCGTTTAGATAGAAAGTGCGGATCCTAATGAATGGTGAACAGCCGAAAGTGAATGATCTTTTGAAAGTGGTGAGAATGCAGGGTTTTTAAATTTCTGTATTTATTCAACACTTTCATAATTTTTACCTTTCTACATAAATATTACCTAAACGCAAAGTTGGCCGATCGGTTATCCAACGTTCCCACGAAGGATGATCTTGCCGCGTTGGAGACGAGATTCAACGCGAAATTGGATCAATTTAAATCTGATTTAGAAGCAGTAATCAATGGAGCGAGTAGGAAAGAAGGAGATGAAAGTCCCGAGGGAGCAAATAATCATGGAATGAAAGGGACGTCGATGCAGGTAAGTTTTTACTCCGTCTTTAAAAGAAATTGGCCCACCGCAGCGGAAAAATATGTACCTATATCGATTGGCATGCGTCCGTGGGGTTGAGTTCTTATGAGTATTATTGTATCGATGGTCTTAAATAGATACAAATGTATCAAGTTACATATGTATATGTACGACGAGAATAAACGTAGAAAGTTACATATGTGTAATACTTACTGAAAAGTAGATAGAATTAATTATCCTACAATATGAATTTGGTGTCTTAAGCTTAGTACTCACGATGGACTTTACGCGCGGAAAACGACTTTTGCAGAAATTCTGCTCAAGTTAAGCGCGAGAGGTACTCAGCTCTTCGTGTGAAACTTGAGCGGAATCTTCAATGCAAGCTCAAGGTTTCCGTTAATTCGAGGCAATTCTTTCACGTGAAATGTGAGCGGAAACTGACTCGCGCCCCTCTGAGCTCAAAATAAGAGGGCGGAGCAACCTCAAAATCTCATTTTTAACTCAATGGCCAGGCGGTTAATTTAAAATGGGGCAAAGTGAAACCTATTATTCAGCTCAAACGACTTGAGTACCTACGAGTGAAAATTGAGCGAAATATACGTGGAATTATGGCATTTTCTGCCCGCTTACGAATTTCTCTCCGGCGAAAAATTTAACAGAATTTAAGCACGATGAAATTCCGCTTGAACATTCGTCCTGAGTACTAGGCTTTAGCTATAACCTCATCTGTAAACTTTTAGACATCAGCATACAGGTTGGGCATTCTGACAGCAGAAGTGCGAAAGGTATGCATGTAGCCTAAACGATACATGTTTATTAAAATGAATTCGTTTAAGATTTGCACTTTTTACGCAGGTACGAATAAAATTTAAACCACTACTGATTAATCGGAAATTTGCCTCTACAGATATATATATAATTCTTGCTGAATTCTCCACCTAATAAAATTTTTCCAACTTTAGCCTTTTCAACCATCTATTAAGATGGTAGGACCCACAAATTTTGCTGAATGTTTAGCTAACTTCGACCCCGTAATAACAATATTTCCCTTAAACAACTTTCCAACTTTCCAAACACATACGGTACCCTGAAGTAAATGTGTTCAGAATTATAAGAAATTGTCATTGAGAATACTTGTATGACTATCAGCCTACTATTTGAATTAAGAATATACTGAACTATGCAAATATGCCCGCCAATTACAAAGTATTGCAGCTGGTTAAAAAATTAAGTGGGTGCTAATTCATTGTAATTTCTCCCCTTGTATTTACAGTCTTCTTTTAACGAGTCGTGCAAATTTGTCGAGCAAATCCTTACTTTTCAAAGGGAACAGGCCGCAGTATTGGTGGAAATAAGGGACACTACCGCCAAACTATTCATCAGCGTAGGGTCCGTCTTGAAGGATGATGGACCATACAAATATAACGTATCGGAAATCCCATTCCCGAAGACTGGTGGCCAGACGAAATTCTGCGGGGATGATTTTGATCTTGCTAGTTCAACCTTCCCTGCAAAACCAGTAATTAAGAAATTGGAATTTATATACATTGATCATTTTTTATTTATCTCGCCACCAATTTAAAACTCCAATATTTTAAAAGGAATTTTCAGATTTTAACTCGATTAATGTTAAATTGTTGGCGTAAAGAAATATCCCGCAAAGTTTCTAAAGTTTTGAAGTATGGATAAAAGGAGATGGGTACTTTTTGGGTCGTGGTGGGCCACGTGATCTTTTGCACTCGATTTGGGCTTAATAATGGTCTTTCCGGCGTAGCTACTACCCGTGTACGTCAAATAAAATATTACCCCCATTGAACAGTTTTTTAACCAAAAATCTCAAAAGTAAATAAATTTAAATAATCAATAAATTTGGCCTATTTTTAAATATTTTGCTTACCCTATGAAAGGATTAGGATTATCCTTCACAAATAAAAAATAAAAACCCGTGACCCACCACGCCCCAAAAAGTTCCCATCCCCTTCAGAAAAGATCCAGGGTTCTAAAAAATCCTAATTTAAACTAATTTTTGTCGGGCGAGATCACCTGCAGCGCGAGAATCCAGAAATGCCGGTGTATTTTTTTTTTCTTTTCGTGAACAATTTGAATTTTGTTCCATCAAAATCGGAGAATACCATTCCTACACTTTATTTTTAATCCGTTCATTCCCCCCCCACAGCTCATTTGCGACCAAGGGTGGATCACAATTCAGCGAAGAGGTACTCCCTTGGCAGGCTGGAATAAGAGGACCGATTTCGAGAGGAATTTTACCGATTATGCGAATGGGTTTGGTCGCCACCTTAGCGGAGAGGATTTCTGGATTGGTTAGGCTAAAAATACCTCTTTTGGATGTGAACGCGCATGTATAACCAATGTTGCGTGTAGGCCTGGAAACAATGCATGAACTAACTAAGGTGGGATATACGCAGTTACGCGTTGATCTCGAAGATTGGGTGGGAAAGATGGCATACACGACGTATAGTGAATTCAAAGTGGGTGGTGCACAGGACAAGTACAACTTAACGGTGGGGGGATACAATGGAACGGCAGGTTAGTGATTACCCATTAACCTGTATGGTACTGCGAATAAAATTTCCCTGTTGATTTCATAATTACACCTGACTAATTAAAATTTCAAAAAGTTTCCAATCTTTGAGTGTTTTGACGAAAAACTCGAAAAATCCACTTTCTAACATTCATTCATATTGTTGATTTCATAATTACGCCTGACCAATTAAAACCAGTTAAAATCTTTGAGTGTTTGGACGAAAAATCCACTTTCCAAGGTTGATTCATATTGGGATAATTCCAAACTTTGAGTATGCAAATATCCAAAACAATCTCCTTGTTGCCATCAAGTTTTCCATCAAATACCAAAGAAGTATTCTGTGTTTAGAAATTTTGCGCTCAACGTACTTAATTTATGAAATACACATATTCGTATGCATATTTCGTCCTCAACGGAAAATTATGTCACACAGATATGTGTACCTTGGTAGAAAATGAATGTACTTTCTCTACACAGAGGTGTGTAGTTTGGTAGCCAAGAGGTTAACCCATAGATAGACGTGCCAGTTCGTATGGACTGGTCACTTGTTGAAAGTGTCAAGGTTGCCCCTATTAGGTCAACCAGTTAACAGTTAATTTTGCTGATGTAAAAAGCATAAAAATTGGAAAATTCGATAGGCCTTATAAAACCGAAAACAGAATTCGATTATCTCTTTTCCTTATAAAATGACAGCACAAAATTTACAGGAAGTGGAAAAATTAGTTTGCCACTCGTGCGAAAAAGTGATTTTCTCGGATCGGAAAAAGGCTCGTAACTACCTCATTCTTCAAGGGATGGACCGAACAAAATTAATTATACAATATACGTATATAAGGAACGTGAAAATGTCAAATACAAAATTTTGCCTTGTCGACCTGTCCGCCAGAAGACCAAAACACTGACGAGAAAAAGTTTTTTGAAAAAACCCCATCACATCCATGACGGTTGCACCCAGACAACTAAAAATTTCGAAAACCTATCTTCGCAAGATCAACGCCAATATGATGGGCTTCAAAACTTACGACATTAAAATCGCACCAAAATACAATGAAAACAAAAAAGCCGGAGCCAAAATAAATTGTCGAAAACTTGTTGAGAAAATGTTAAAATCCGCTCCCAGCAGTTTGTCGTCCTGGATGATGAAAACTACTGCCCCACTGACCTCGAAGTGTCAATCGCATAAAGTCCTACTCAAGTGGAAGTAAAAATTCGTTCGTTGGAAATATAAATTCAAAGTCATTCAGAATTTCCAATGAAATGCATAAAATGGCTGGCGATCGACAAAAATGGGGGCGTCTCAAATCCATTCGCTTCCACCAAGAATATGAGCTTTGGCTTGATTTGAAACAGTGTAAAATCAAGAGATTGACCCTCTCAATCCAAAACAAACGCGTTTTATTTTGGCCGAACGTGGTAACGAACCACAATCCCAAAATTGTGACAGGGTACCATCGATGGCAAAAAAATGATTTCGTCGAGAAAAAAGAAAATGCTCCAAACGTACCTAACTATCGGCCGATTAAAAGGTTTGGGTTTAATTGAGAAACAATATACTCAGGAAAAAAATACACTATCAAATTTCGAAAAATTTCGGCGCGTTATGGAGAAAGTCATCGTAGAAGTTGATGAAACGACTGGCAAAGCGCTCATGAGAGGTGTGTGACATAGTGATCTCTCCACTGGCGAGGAAGGTGTATTTCTACCACTGAAGAATAAAAAAACTTCCGTCTGGTCAGCGTTAGTATTGCACAAAAGTTTCATTGCATTTGATTTACGCATTCATATTTTGCAGGTCAAAATAACTTGACACTTTCATTCAGTGACCAGTCCATAATTATTCATTACAAATTTTCTTTTTTGTAGCAAATTTCCTCCACCGAAATAATGGCAAAAAGTTCACCACATTTGACAGTGACAATGATGAATTCGATAGTAGCAACTGTGGTTCGCAACGCCACGGTGGATGGTGGTACTGGAATTGTTCTGAGGTATGGATTCACGTGGTGATGGTGTGAAGTGTAACCCTCCGATATGGTTGAAATTTGGAAATTACATATGTGGTCCAAGTTAATTCAATCAACGCTTCTTAAGGCGGTTTATGCGATGGTCAGAATTTGCAAAATATTTTAAGGTTAAGTTGAAAAAGTTTTGGCAAGCGGGGGAAGCAAAGTCAACTTCAATTCCCTTCCCTTTCTAAAAATCGCATACATATTTTTCAGCTTTGCGATCAAATATTCATTCTGACCATCGCCCAAAATACCTGACGAAACATTGGATGTATGTAATTTCAAAATTTCAACCAAATTGGACTCTTACACTTCGCACCATCGCATTGAGGAAATTTTGATCAAACCGCATTTTGCAACAACTTTTTGCGATTCGTAGAGCCACCTGAACGCCAGGTATCATAATTCCAGTCAAGAAGAAAAACCTTACAAAGGAATTATCTGGCGCCATTGGAGGGCCTACGACCACTCTTTAAAAAAGGTTGAAATGAAGATTCGTAAACCAGCCACAATCAACTAAAACTAACTGCTGTCTGAATAGTTGAATATATGTATTTACATATGTAATTATTATTGCAACTGCATAATACGCATTCAAATGTTAATGGTCACACTTGTACAATGAACTCTTGTAAAATGCACTCAAAACAAAAATTGGTCAAATCAACACCGCCGGTGTCAATATATCGGCGTACTAATTCTAAAAAGACATAAGTGTACTCGATTGGTAATTCCGAAAAAACATAAGTGCACTGGATATTTAATTTCGAAACATGTAACATAACTACTTCTTTTAGCTAGTTTTTCACGTGCACTTATGTTATTTCGGAATTAAGCATCCAGTGTGCATACGTTGTTTCGGAATTAAGCATCGAGTGCACTTATGTTGTTTCGGAATTAGTACGACGATATGTATGTATCTATGACTTAACCGCCTTGGTTCCAATGTTGAATCCGAGTTATGATGATTTTGATACCGGTAGGTTAGGTTAGGTTAATGTTAATGTTGATAATGTTATAACCGGACGGAAAAAAATTCATTCCCACTCGGAATCAGGAATGTAACCAAGGCGGTTAAGTCATACATATGTATATTTTGACACCGGCGGTGTTGATTTGACAACTTTTTGTTTTTAGTGTATGCATGATACTAACAAATATACAAATTAGATATGTATTGACATATTTATGTTTACTTATATACTTATTTGGGAAATATAGAAATAAGCATACATGTGTACGTACACATGGAAATAGACCCATATATTTAGATAAGAACCTACCCAGCTTTCCAACTTGATATTAGTGCTCCGAACGTTCCTGTCCGAATGGTTATCTTGTTTGAAATTGAATTCGGTTAGTTTCGAAATTATGAATAAACACGTTTTGACTTGGAATATTTTGTCCAATTTCGACTAAAGTGCCTCAACAAACCTCAATTGACTTGGACCAGACCACATTATTCCCAAATCGGAGAGTTACACTTCACACAATCGTATTGTCACTCAGGCAAAGCAAGAAATCATGACGTGTGTTGCAGAATTATGCAAGACCAGCCTGTCAATCCTTGTCTTTTTTTGGAGACTCGTACTTTGAGTTGGGCAAAAGTAATGATGCATATGTACGTGTCAGGGGACGTCCATAAATTATGTCACCAAAAAAATAGGGTATTTTAAGATATAATCTTCAATTGTATCTTGTGTCACATGTGAAACGATATCATTGAATCCTTAAACCTCGCTTCCCCCTCTCGCGTCATGTATATAATTTATGAACGGTCCCTTAATTATGTACATACGCAGCAACTGATGATGCAGAGTAGATCATTCCCCACACTTTACTGTGCAGTGCACGAACTACCAACCAGAATATTTATTCGCATGCATGTTACTCATACTTATTAAGGGGTGAAAGCCCTTTATAAGATCGTTATGTCCGTCCGTCCGTCTGTCTGTCTGTCCGTCTGTCTGTCTGTCCGTAGCTCCGATAACTATTGAATGAAAAGACCTAGAGACTTGAAATTTTGAACGTAAACTACTAACGTCATGGGACAGGATGAGTTCGAAGATGGACACTGTGACATCGTCACCTGTGACGATGACGTCGTCACAGTGACGAAAAGTGACGAAAAAGTGTCACATTTTAGTTTTGGTATGTGACACATCATTTTTAACTATTTTTCAACGAGGAATTCGAAAATTCATGTCATTTTGACATTGGTCGTCACCTGTGACGATGACGTCGTCACGGTGACGAAAAGTGACGAAAAAGTGTCACATTTCAGTTTTGGCATGTGACACATCATTTTTAACTATTTTTCAACGAGGAATTCGAAAATGCATGTCATTTTGACATTGGTCGTCACCTGTGACGATGACGTCGTCACGGTGACGAAAAGTGACGAAAAAGTGTCACATTTCAGTTTTGGCATGTGACACATCATTTTTAACTATTTGTCAACTAGGAATTCAATGGTGACCTCCATTTTGACCTCAAAGGTCATTTGAAGGTCATAGGGCATATGCATATCTCTTTGCACTGAAATTTAACCCCGAATTCAATGGTAACCTCCATTTTGACCGCAGAGGTCATTTAAAGGTCATAGGGCATATGCATATCAATTTGCATTGAAATTTAACCCCGAATTCGATGGTGACCTCCTTTTTGACCTCATAGGTCACAAAAGTGCACTGGAAGGTCGCAGCAAGTTCATCAACTGTGAAATTGGATACATATGTCAGAATTGTTGAAAACACGTCAGACATGTAAATTTCAAGAAATTTTGAACTGACAAACACAACATAGTTTTCAGTTTGACGGACAATACACTGCTTTCACCCCTTGGTTACATGCGTTGTAACGGTTTATTTCGGTAATAAATGCATTGTATTAACGTGGTAAGTTTTACTTTATTCTGGACAGTGGCCATAGGCGCATGCAGATTTCCTCTTTTGCGATGACTTCTATATCGTATTTAATTCAGGTCCTGTTCTTGAGTGGATCTTACAGGCTGGTAAGTAAATACAGAAACACTTTCAAAATTTTGGGATATTAATTAAATGAAGTTTTGATTTCACCGGTTCCATATGTACTTTGCAAATTTGTATTTAGAAAATAATTATTTATGTTCGCACTAGGCTAGATTTTCGAATCATTAATGAGTTTTTAATTATTTATTTTTTTTACGGAAAATTAAGCGAGGTGAATGATGTTCGAGCGAGTACAACATTATTGACACCTACGTATTTATTCATAGAATTTATTACATATCGTCGTACTAATTCCGAAAAGACATAAGTGCACTCGATTGGTAATTCCGAAACAACATAAGTGCTTATGTCTTTTTGCTAGTTTTTAATGTGCACTTATGTTATTTCGGAATTAAGCATCCAGTGCACATATGTTGTTTCGAAATTAAGAATCCAATGCACTTAAGTATGTTGTTTCGGGATTAGTACGACGATATGTGAAGAACACAAGTGCAAGAAATTACTGCATAATTCTTCCACTTTGAGGTTTGTAAATACGAAATTAAGTGAGGAACATGAAATCAAGCCCCAGGTGTAAAAATTCCGTAAAATCGATCGTTTCAAATTTGTCGTTTGATTATACTTATGTGTATGTACTACTTCAGGTACAAAGTGCGGATCACACCGGTTGTGACCATCTGAGCCTGAATGACTTGATGAAACTGGTTAGAACGCTGCTACTTACATCTGTTCAAATTTCTGAATTTATGTATTTAATTATCTACGAGATAATTTTTTCTGAAGTTGGCCGATCGGTTATCCAACATTCCCATGAAGGATGACTTGGCCGCGCTGGAGACGAGATTCATTGCGAAATTGGATGGACTAAAATATGACTTGGAGGCACTAATAAAAGCGGCGGGAAGGAAACAGGGAAAAAGTTGAGAGGGAGGAAATCATCATGGAAGAAAACGAAGGTCAATGGAGGTAGATATTTACATATATGGTTTTTTTTTATATTATAGCGTTTAACAAATTTAAAATAAAGTTTTCACATTGAATGATCTGCGGTCGCTGGTTGAATATTCTTAAATAAAATTCAGTATCTTATCACTGCGGTTAGGTATCCATTTAAACTGCTAGGAAGTAAACTGTGAAATAACGTTGCGAAACTTATTGAAACGTGGACTTAATTATACCAAATATTAATTATCATCATTAATCGTTACAAGGTTTCCTTAATCTTTCAGACACCGGATTTCGTTGCAGCAGATTATAGGCTAGGCATACTAACAGGTGAAGTGCGAAAGGTATGTATTCCTTATCTATGTTTGCTATAATTTCTGGTTCAGACATATAATTCCTTTGTTATTCCAAAAATTTATCAAAAATTGAGCAGAACGAGCAGTATTGAGCAATAACACTAGAATATGCACGATTTAAATTTTCAAACACTTACAATGCGATGGTGTGAAGTGTAACCCTCCGATTTGACTGAAATTTTAAAATTAGGTGGTCCAAGCCAATACAACTAACGTTTCTTGACGCAGTTTGTGCGATGGTGGGAATTAGTCAAAATATTTGAGGTCAAAGTTGAAAAAATGGGCGATTTTTACCAAGCGGAGGAAGCAAACTCCACTCCCGTTCCATTCGAAGGGGAAAATTGTCATTTTTTCAACTTTGACCTCAAATATTTTGACTAATTCGAACCATCGCACAAACTGCTTCAAGAAACGTTGGTTGTATTGACTTGGACCACATAATTTCAAAATTTCAACCAATTCGGAGGGTTACACTTCACACCATCGCATTGTTAGAAAATTGTATATGTTTTCAAAGTTACGAGAATACTCTTTTTTGTCCAGTATTCATTTAACGAGACGTGCCAATTTGTCGAACAAATCCTTACCGTGCAGAAAGATCAGTCCGCAGTTTTCAGGACATAAGGAACACTACGTCTAAAATATTTCAAAGCGTTGGTGCCATCATGAAGGGTGTTGGATCATACAGATCTAACGTGTCCGAGTTTACATTCGCAAATACCGGCTGCGAAGAAGGCGAGTCGATTGGCTTGGGAAAAGTTGAAATGAATCTGTGCGAGGATGGTCTCAATCGCACAAACTCAACGTTCCTCAAGAAAACGGTACTTAATTAGCTACAACCATTACTTTGAACGATAGTTAAATATTTGGAACCAACTGATAATTGCATACACACGCTCCAACAGCTGATCTGTGACAAAGGGTGGATCATGATTCAGCAGAAGAGTGCTCCTTACTCCGGGTTTAGACTTCACGTTATCATCACGTTCTCCTCCAAATTCGATTTTTTGATTGGTCGAAATTTTTAATTGTCTTACAAGGGAACCTTCTGAGGTGCCCGTTGATTCCAGGGTTCTCATCTATACCAAAATGACCACAATATGCGACTTTTGGCGTAAAGTGAAGGAATTTACGTGCAAAAACCACTTTTCGTCAATCTGTGACGATATTTGTGACCACGGTTGAGAGTGGATTCAAACGACGAAGCGTGCGACTCGGAGATTGCAAAGAGCTCTCGCATAATTCAAATTCTCAATTAATATAATTTTAATTTTTAATTCTCATCTTGTTCAGAACTCTGAACAAAATCATATGGACGTGAATTAATGTCGTCATTAGTTAGTGGGTGATGGATTCAACAAAAAAAGTGGTCGAAACAGAGATGAAAATTAAATAGGAATTACACATTTGATGAAAATTTCCATTGGAAATGCATAAATCCAATTCGCACTTTTCATGTGTTGATGAGAATAACAATTCCTGAACATTTAAAAATTACATTTATGTGCATATTTATACGTACCTAAGTCCCCATCGATGTCACAGTTTAATTTACTTATCGTTTCAAAATCAGTCCCAGAATTTTTAACAATTTCTTCCACAAATGAGAACACTCTTTTTGCGATGTTTAAAAGGACGATTTATTTGTTGGTCCACCGTTGATTCCTTTACCTTCTTGACAATTTCAGCACAAATTATAATTAAGTTTGCCATTATGAATAGGAATTTTAAAAATCGAATAACAATTGTGTTTTGTAATGAAAATGAAATATTTATAAACACCATCATGTGTTCAGCGAGATTCTCTGCCGGACGTCTCACGATGAAACTCTATGCCACCCATGCTCCCACGCTCGTCACAAATATCGTCACAGATTGACGAAAAGTGATTTTTGCACGTAAATTCCTTCACTTTACGCTAAAAGTCGCATATTGTGGTCATTTTGGTATAGGTGAGAACCCTGGAATCAACGGGCACCTCAGAAGGTTCCCTTGTAAGACAATTAAAAATTTCGACCAATCAAAAAATCGAATTTGGAGGGGAACGTAATGATAACGTGAAGTCTAAACCAGGGGTTATACATACAGGCCTCATGAAACCAGTTTCGATAGGGATTTTAACGAATACGCGACTGGGTTTGGCCTCCCCCTTTCCGGCGGTGATTTCTGGATTGGTTAGATTTTAAGATTTCTTGGCAGATACTGATAAACGGGTTATGAATAAAGTGAACAGCGTATATTGAATTCAGGCTTGACAACTATTCATCAACTAACGGAGACGGGATATACACATTTACGAATTGATTTCAAGTATTTTGAAGAAATGACAGATTATGCGATGTATAACGAGTTCAAAGTGGGTGGTGCTGAGGATAAGTACAACTTAACGGTGAAGGGATATAATGGCACGGCAGGTGAAGGAATTTGTCAGTAATTATGGAGATATTGTGGGAAATACTTTTGAATTAACCTCACCTTCCTCAACTTGTATGGATAATTATATCAAGTTATTCTTACGCTTAAATTTTCAAGCAATCAATTAATGATTCACTCAGTTTTTAATCGAAGTTTGTTTAATGAAATCAAAAAAATTATACCTGAAAACGAGGGGAAACTAAAGGGCGATTCCTGCCAAAGACTTCTTAGGAAGTTTTGGCAATTAATTTTGTGTGGTAACAAATCTGTGTATGCAATCTTGTGCACTTCAAATTTAGATGACGTTTAGAAATACATAACCATCATTCATGCCTGGTCAAACATATGTAACTTCAATTTTTCGTAGGAGATTTCTTCATCCAAAATTCTGGGAAAAAGTTCACCACACGTGATAGCGACAATGATGAATACAGCAGTGGCAATTGTGCGACTGAATACAGGAGTGGATGGTGGTACGGGAATTGTTCCGAGGTAATCGAATTTATGTAGTGTGCACTCACTCTTAAGTATAAACAGGTGGCTCTCTTGAAAACTTAACATACGTTTAATTTTATAAATATGTCATACAAAATCTAGAGTAAGGTTGACTTGACAAAGATTAAAGTTTACTGGATTTAGTATTCCTACGATTAGCTAGCATACACAGTGAGCGCATTAATTCATATGTACTTTCCAAAGCGTTAATAGATACCATTCTTACTAAGAATACAAAATATGTATAAAGAAAGCCACGATGTGTTCCATCGTCTCGAAGTATATATTTGCTCATATAAATTTATGACTCACAGAGCCTATCGGACCCCATGTCCTACAGAGCGGCAGGACCCTATCATGGAATAAACTGGGTAGCGTGGAAGGGTCCTGGCCACTGGTTGAGAAAGGTTGAAATGAAGATTCGCAAGCCACCCATAATCATATAATTGTTGTCTGAATACATGTAAGTAATCCAACTATTCTTGATACTCAACTCTGTACCATGACAAAAAGGAGATGGGTGATCCATGCAGAGGCCACCCAGACACCACGTAACAAAAAATAGCGAACTTTGCCAGTATTTACGAATATTTACATTTTCACGAACACTAGACACTAAATTGTATAATTTTTACGTCAAAATATAACCTAACAATGCAAGTCTTTTACGTGTACAACTCAGATCTAAATGGGACCAATTTTATTTTATCCACCACAAAAAATAAGCATACCCATATTTTATCTTTTTATCCGAATGCGCTAATTTGAGCGCGCGGCGCGAATTTTAAACCATTTTCCAGCCAAAACCTCGATTCTAAAAAATTCAATAAATTTTCGAATTTTGGCGGGAATAAAAAAATTCGAAAACATGTCTCTTCAGAATGAAATACTTGACTTATGAAAAATTGTATTGCTATGAAATTTGAATTTCAGAGTTTTTTTGCCAGTTTTTGAAATTCATTCAAATTATAAACTCTTTCAAATTTTTAATTTTTCATAAAATAGGGAATACGAATTTTTTATAAGTGAAGTAAGGGGCCGTTCATAAATTATGTAACGCAAAAATCGACCTTTTTCAGACCCCTCCCCCCCTGTCACACTAGCGTAACGCAAGACCAATACCCCCCCTCCCCCTGTGTAACGTAACGCAAGTCTCATTTTTTCCAAAAATGTAAATGACACAAATTGAAAAAAATTAAAGGCATTTTTGTACGTTTGTTACTATACAGAATGCTGTTAATTGTTATGAATTTGCTTAATCGAATTACTTAATTGCAGTGGAATTACGCATACTTTAGTTAAATTGCACTTGGAAATTTGCAATGAAATAAACTTCATCGGAAGAAGTAAAATTAGGTATATTTTGTTGTGGACAATGGTAGTTCAGTTTCCTGTCAGATATCTATAAGTTTAAATATTTTTCCCAATTTCAGAAACCTGACTGTCCAATTTTTTATGAGATAACGAATTGTTGGCATTTTTACGCGACACGGCTTTTGGTTCGGAATTCTCAATTTTTATATTATGTTTAAAGATTTATTTGCAAATTTTCTTGAATTATAGTGAAAACTCGTTTACTGTAGAGTAAAAGTTTCCGGGAATCATTTTCAGGAACTTTTCAAACAATCTTCTGAAATTTTGAATGTTTTATGGAATTTTTAAGAATTTTGAGCAAATTTTCGAACAATTTTGAATTTGAATTTTAGTTACGTAACGCAACACTCTGACCCCTCACCCCCCTTGTCACATCCTGTAACGCAATTCTGAAGACCCCTCCCCCCCCTCTCGCGTTACATAATTTATGAACGGCCCCTAAGTCATTCTGGCGAGAGATGTCTTCGAATTTTTCGATTCGCGCAAAAATTCGAAAATTCGCAGAATTTTTTTTAATCGAGGTTTTGGCTGGAAAATGGTTTAAAATTCGCGCCTCGCGCTCAAATTAACGCATTAGGAAAAATGCAAAAATACGGGTATGCTTATTTTTTGTGACGACAAAAAATGAAATTGGTCCCATTGAGATCTAAGTTGTAAACGTAAAAGCCTTGCCGTGTAAGTGGTATTAAATAATATTTAATGTAGTCCTCCACGCTCCCAACGAGAGCGCCTTGTTTCTTCCGCCAGCCCGAAATCTAATTATACCGAAAATTCTTTTGTTACATGGTGTCTGGGTGGCCTTTTCATGGATCACCCATCTCATTTTTGTCATGGTACAGGGTTGAGTGTCAACAGTACATAAAATACAGGTCACAGTTGTACGATGAACATGATATGTTCAACATATTATGATACTAACAAATATACAAATGATATATACAGAAAAATACATGTTGAAAAAAATTGATTTTCATTCGAATGAAAGTCGTCCCGATTTCCGCCTGCATATTTTTTTCATACACATTCAGTAATTTTTGTTCAAATTCGTTCCACTTCACTTCATCCGACTTACATACGTGGCGTCATGTATTTATTAATCATAGGGTCAAAAATGTAAGCGATGGAAATCTTGTCATTCATAATAATTCCTCTGAAATCAGACGTGGTGGTCAAATATTTTAGGCGTGTAAATAAATAACAAAGCGTATCTACACGAAATCGACAAGATCTGAAACATCATAATAATTTTTTTAAATGCCTAATTTTTTGTCAATTTCAAAATTTAGGAGAATTAAAAAAAAGTTGGATTTTCAAATTTAAAAACTCATTAATTTAAAAATGCATTACAATTAAAAACTTCTGTCACATCTAAATATAAATTGCTAAAGAATATTTGCGCCGACTATTTACATTTTTGCGCGCCCTAAACTCGATCGGCACCTGACAGCGTATAATCGTGGGCGCCAGGTACTGACGATGTTTTCATGTATTTTTTTTTAATTGGCGTTTTTTAATAAATAATGACGCAAGATTTGCGCAAAATCTTCGCGCCGCCGCCGCGAAGATCTAGCTTTCTTCCGCCGATTTATAAAATTTTAAATGTGATGAAATTTTATAAATGCAAATTTATTTTTTTTCAACGGAAATCACACTTTTAATTGTATTAATTACATACATAAGTTTGTGAGGAATGGAACTGTGTGGAAAGGTATTTATATTAACCCTGCTGACTTATCGAGGTGAGTCATCATGACTCAGTAATTACGACGTAAGTACCTGACACAAGATCTCGTGACATTGTCGTATGTACATACTCTGACCAGAAATTCCCGTACACGCATTTCTGGTGATCAATCCAAAAGTATTAGTGATATTGGTTAGAAATTTTATGGATGAACAAGGCACTAATATTGTTTAGAAATCATAACTTAGTTTTCAGCATTTCGTCCAGGGGCTTTTACGCAAGACATAACTCGTGACAGACACTGCTTGCTCGCGGCGCGCGCCGTTTTTATGAGATAAGTGCTCCACACATTCGTTAGGATGACTTCAGGCCTTCCACGCTTATGTGAGATTTAGAGCATACTTGTATCTATAATTTTGACCACCGGTCATAATTTCTGGGATTAAGGTCTGCAGATGCTGAGGACCGTTCTCGCGATGAAAAAAAGTCAGCAAAACTCGTTCGAAGTCATTTTTGGATAATTTTTGCAAAATAGTCGCCACCAGAGCATCTTGAAAAGTCCAATGTTGGTTATCAAAGAGTTCATGGTCCAGGGGATTAACTATTAGCTTTTGGAAACTCTGAAAATAAGTCTTGGGTTGAACGTGTACCCTCTGCAGCAAAAAAAACAGAGATTTGCTTTTTCCAAGCAACTCTCTCATGTCAGATCCATGGCGATAATTTCAGATCGATTTCTGCATACTAAATAGAATGTCTGGCTACCGTAGAGCAAATATCTGACCATTTTTTCTATTAGCTTTGTCTCCAACGGCAAAAAGTCTGAAAAACTTTTCTCCTGAAAACGGCGCGTACCGCGAACGAGTACTTGCCGTCTCGAGTAATGTCTTGTGTACAAGCCCCTGGACGAAATGTTGAAAACTGCGTTATGATTTCTAAACAATATTAGTTCCTTGTTCATCCATAAAAATTTCTAACCAATAGCTCTAGTACTTTGTGATTTATTACCAGAAATGCATATACGGGAACTTATGGTCCGAGTATGTATCCATACACGGCACGAACTTATGCTTGCGCAATTGATCGCACGGGATTGAGCTTGATTTGATACAGTGTGGTCCAAAAACAAGAATACATTGTGGGAATCAAAAAATTTACTACTTCTGCTAGGGAACAAGTTTCCATCTCGAGTCGTGTTACATATGTACATGCTGGCAGGTGAATAAATAAAACCTTCACTCTAAAAACAGTTGTGCTAAATTTGCTAAAGGTTGAGTAAATAAAGAGGAAAACCCACCAATTGGGGCAAATTTCTTTAATCCTTGCGAAACCTAACGTAAACCAGTTTGTAAGAAATTATTTCCATTAAGCTCGATTTTTGTAATTGGCAAGTTAAGTTCAATCCGTGATAAACAAAGGAGATAAATATTTGAAACTTATATATACCCTGTAGGAACTTTTATTACCACGCGGTATACATACCTAAATATATTACTCTACCATATTGGTAGACACTACTTTTACCGCGAAGCAACAAACCAATGAGACTAGATATTGCCTTGCCGCGGTGGTGGACGAATTGAGACTCTCAACTTAACCAGGTTGGTACTCTTTGCCAACACTTTATGAAATGGTAGTAAAGCATTACCATACTACCGCTGATGGTAATATCTACTTTTACCACACAGGCCGTAATAAACGTTATTAAGAATTTATTACCGGAATTTATTACCGAAGTGTACACAAATCATCCTACATACATATATATTCCTTGATTAAAAAAATAGTGTTCAAACGTTAACCCAGGGGTAAATTCTTCTTACCAACACTGTATCAATGGTGACAAATCGATCGCATTTTACCAATGTTCTCGGCCAGATAACGATAATGGCAAACCATTTAAATGGCAATATGGCAAGATAACAGGACAATCCAACTTATCAAAAACTCGCGTTTGCTTAAAGGTTGCATACATATTTATTAGTCTGACTTTTACATTGCAACTTCCCGAGCTGACAATTCATTCAGAGCGAAACAAAAAATCATGTCCAAGACTGCTCTAATTTTTTTGGTCGTCGTCACCATGGCGACGGGCGCCGTTCAGGGAGGGACCCTTAACGAATATAGGAAGGGCGAGCTAAAAAGTAAAGTGCTCGAAAGGGTCGACGCTTTGGATTGGGAGTGCCCCTCGTATTGTGATTATTGCACGGGTGATAGATGCTACTTCTACGAATATTACTACGACGGGGACTTTGAGTTGGCGTGAGTTAAATAAAATTAAATTTTGGTCGTCAAATTTAGGGAAATTTGGTCTATTATTTTTTATTTAAAAAAGTGATCAATCGAGGAGTTTCTTAACGAGTAATTTGGGTAAAATTTGAACGGATTTAAATTGACGGCAGGTTCGATTCCTGGTGGGGTTTTTCATTTTTGTGCCATATTGATTGCAAATAATGATTTTTTAAAATTCAGGGGTACTTGTATAATTGCTATTTTTAAAACTTAGGCTGGATTAATTCGCGTTGGGTTCGATTCCCAGTGGCAATATTTTTTCACCCAACTTAATGTAAATAGTATTTTTTGACTCAACGGGTGGATAAATACTGGTGATTGTTAAAATTTGGGTGTGTATAATTTGACGCCAGGTTCGATTCCTGGTTGAGTTTGGTTTGTATTTTAATTAAATTTATTACGATCTGATTTTTTAGTTCAGGTTTAGTTGAATAATTGTTTAAAATTGAGAAGTTTTTGTAATTAACGACCAAACTTTTAATGCATGGTTGGCTGGATAGTTGCCATTTCAATCACCATCTTCATCATCTTCTTCGTCTGCATTCCTGTCGGAAGGAGGAGGCACCCTTCTTATGGGAAAACTGCCTGCCGTCGAATTTTCTGAATTTTTGATATGTTGTAGACTTCGATGTGCTGAACAAAAGTCTCCATACCCCCGACCCCAGATTTTCGCTGGTTTGACCTCCAACAGAGGTCAAAGGTCAGTATAACTTGGCCATAACTAAGTATATGTAAAATTTTACAAATTTGTCCTGACGTCAGTTGTTGATGGATTTTCAAAATTCCGGATGTTTTGGAAACGTGGGACCGTTGGGCGAAATATATATTTCCAGATTTTTTAAATTCGGCCACACCCCCTATATATTGATGTAATAAAGTATAAAACTGAGATTAATATCTCTAACTAATCATTCAACTCCACATTGAAGTTAAGACAGCATAGTTGCCGATTCTTTGCGTAATTGATTTACATTGTCATGTCATCGAAAAATAGGTCAGAGGGTCACACCCCACTCTAGTGGGGTCCCTGTGGGTGTGGTCCGAACAGGAAAAAATGTATAAAGTCGGTTCCTAGTATTGTTTCTGAAATTAACTATTGTAATCGAGGGTAATTTTGTATGTCTGCCCCACTTGTACACCATGACCTTAATGTGTATGGCGTAGGGGAGAGGGGGTGTGGCTTTTGGCGATTTTGCGACAGTTTTATCAATACCTGGCTTGCGGCACATCATTTTTCTCAGCACACAAAGCCGATTACGACCGCTTGTTCAAAATTTCAAAACCACACCCACTGGGGGTGTGGTTATTGTCGGCTATTTCAATCCAAGGCAAGTATCTCATGCGACATATCATTTTTCTCAGCACACAAAGCCGATTACGACCGCTTGTTCAAAATTTCAAAACCACACCCACTGGGGGTGTGGTCACTGTCGGCTATTTCAATCCAACGCAAGTATCTCATGCGACATATCATTTTTCTCAGCACACAAAGCCGATTACGACCGCTTGTTCAAAATTTCAAAACCACACCCACTGGGGGTGTGGTCATTGTCGACTATTTCAATCCAACGCAAGTATCTCATGCGACATATCATTTGTCTCAGCGTACAAAGCGGATTAAGACGGCGTATACAAAATTCCAAAACCACGCCCCCTGGGGGTGTGGTTCCTGGGAACTATTTTATGCGACATACCATTTTTCTCGGCGCCCAAATGCGATTAAGATGACGAAATTAGTTTTCTTGCCAATTTTTAAAACTTTATCTTTTATAAGCAGGTTATATCTACTCGGTGTGTGTCTTGTACCCAAAGCGGATAAGTTATAAATTGACATGGTCGGTTGATGGGTTTGTTTGATGCCGTTAGAACTATTTTGATCCATCGTTATGAGGAATGGTTTGGACACCTTTGCTGGTAAGGATGATTGTAATAACATGATGGCGCAGTACTTACGTTAGTCAGTTGTCATCTGCATCATCAAATAACTCCGGAGCGTCTCTGTGGGCAGCATCATCGATAATGCCTAGGAGACTATGCGATGGAGCTTGTAATTTATCTTGGTGTCTTGCCCAGCCCATGAACCAGAGTACACTTGCAATATGCGAACAAGTTCCCAAGGTGCGAGCCCCTGTTTTGCACTGGCAATACCAACCTTGAATTGGATTTGGAAGAGGGTGTGGCAGTTGCTCTCCCGCTAAGGCTTCCTCAAAGGGTACCTCGTGGAACTGAATCCACAGTTGGTATTTTGCAGCTCGAGTGTGTCTGAAAATACAATTGGAATAAAAAGTAAGCTTACTTGATCAAGTTATTTACAATATGATGTAATACAATTATTATCAAAATTTCTACCTGGAATAAACTTGAGCCCTTAGAAGCCCTGGGCTTTCGCGGCTTAAATCGAAGCGGTACTCGCCGTCCCTTGTATTCTTATCCTGGACGTAAGCAGGGGCTAGCTTAACCTGGTACTTTCCGAAAGTAAGGTCGTGTAGATACTGCAGCGACAAATGTGGGAAAGCTGGTAGATGGTCTGAAGTCATAGGGAACCATTGAGTAGGAGCTCGTGTTTCTAGACGTTCATCGTGAACACGTTGCATGAGATGGTTAGGTTGAGCAGCTATTCTTAACATTTCTTTGGCTTCGTCAGCGTTGTAGCCAGGCATAGTTATTGGTAGATGGAAGGCATTCAATAGTGCACAGGCTATCCTGACTAGGTCTCCTAAATGCACACAGTTGTGAGATTCCACTCGATGGGCGAAAAATTTGAAGACACTTTTCAAATGACCATTTCTCGCTTCCACAACCCATCGGCTTTTGGTGATCAGTCTATTATTGTTCGCCTCTTCTGTAGGTAACTGGTCTCGCGTGGCTCTTCCTCTCACAATATTTGGTATTTTAGCTCGTATTCCTAATCTCTGAAGTGTCGGGATTGATTCGCGGTAACCGTAGTCTACGATGACGATGTCGCCCTCTTGAATCCACTGACCAAATCCACGAATATCACGCTGGAGTTCATCAATTAAGATTTTTGCATCGTTGTTCTTTGAATCTGAGAAATACGGGCCGTGGACATCGAAAATATAACCATCTGGTGCAACTATCATGATTGGCTTCACAAGATGGTAGCTCTTGTGCATGCAATAACTTTGGCGGGCAATTCTAAAGTTAGAGCTAGTGGCTATTTCAATGTATGTGCCATCAATGCACAATATGGCCTGAGGTTTTTCCGGGTTAGGGTTGTACAGTTGGTTGGCAAAATCTGATACATGTCGATGAATAAATTGTTGTCGGGTCATACTGTCGGGGCCCAGATTAGTTCTTACAAATGCCCTCATAAGTGATTCTCTAACCTTATTCACCGCCAAGCTGACTGCTTGTCGTGTCGAGTAGTGGAATATTGCTTTCAAGAATTCGTCAGGTATTCCTTGCCTAAGCTTACAAAGGAACATGATCAAGTCGATTTTATATACTATTCTATCATGTCCAGAAACTTGCACAGGCCCACACAGCTCGTACAAGTTTCTGAACTGATCTTTGCTTAATGAGGTGATGGTAAAGAAATCATTGTCAGCAATTGTGTTTTCGTCATTGTAGTCTGGCGCTTGGTTACGGATTGCATTCGTGCGGAGCACACTGAACCACCGTTGGATTTCAATAGGTGACAACTTGATAGTTCTTCGCTGGCCTTGCAGCCCTTGGACTAAAAATGATAGAAGTTTTCCATCTTCACCCATGTGGTCCTTGCATAATCTTGATCCCTCAGGAATAAATATCTCTCGCTTGATGAAGACGTCAACCCTAGCGGGCCACTGGATTAATGAAATTTGTTGTTGAGTATGGCAAATACAACATTGTGTGTGCGAGGTTTGTAGCAGAACATTGAACTCTAACTCTTGATGACTGTTCTGATTTTCTATAAGGTTAGAGACCGCACTGTAACACGATAGGCAAAGCCGATCTACTGCAGGATCAATTGCTTCGACGCGATCTCCATCGGGTGTTCTCTCCATCCTTTGATCTTCAGCGATTTCTCTAAAGTGATTCATGTGGTTTCCTTTGAGTTTCTTCATGGTTGATGCAGGACAAGCTGTATGACAAATGTAACATAGGGGTTTACGTTGCGGAGCAGGGTTTGTTTTCATTAAAGATGTCATGTTGTGTTTTATTTGATTTAAGAGAGTTAGTGGCTCGTATTCCATATCACGATTTGAAACCTATATATGAGGTTACCGCCTAGAGCTCCCCGAGCAGGTTCAACAACGAGATCTCTGCTGATTAGCGCATTTCGCCACCCGGCTAGTGCAATCAGAAAGAGGTACGCGCGTATCCACAACTTCTACCAGCAAAGCGCCACCTGAGTTCCCTGGAGCACAAAACTCAGGCCGTTGTTAGTTATTCCGAAATGTATTCCGTTCCAAAAAATTGTGCCGAGTCGTCGGGGAGGAAAGTGTTGCTACCCTAATTGAAACAAATAAAAATGAAATCGCAACCCGTCATGCATTTAAATTTGCAAATAAATCCTTTCCAGCAAAGATGTACGTGAATTTGAACTGGGAGCATTGCGTACTTATGTCTAAAAACAAACATATGGCTGCTTCATAAATATCAAGGGACACAAAATGTTTCACAAAATTTAACTTCATGGTCTATCGTCTGTGACCCAACATATGTATATACTTTATGTGTGTGTATATATGTATTCATATGAATATTATATGAATTCATCTACATATGTGTGTTTGTATGTGCATATGTATGAATGCATCTACATATGTGTGTTTGTGTGTGCCTATGTATGAATTCATCTACATATGTATACATGCATTTATGTATCTATGTATGCATTCTTATCATTACTAAAATTATTCGAAATTTGAAAACGTAACATTGTCCCTAAAACCTGAAAACCACCCCCTAATGCGACCACGTGCAATGACAGCGCTTGCAATGCAATGACTGTCGTGGCCCATTTTAACCAGGGGCACGCGGGGTTGTGCTAGCCATTCTAGCATGGCTGGATGAGGTAGGGGATTGTCAATTACCCTACCCCACGCCGTCCGAAGACGGGTTAACGCACACCCGGCCTAACAAGGGAGAAAGGGGGTTGTGCCCAGTTCTCGCAAGGCCCGTCTGCGCCACGTAGTGCCCACTTCCTACCCGCCAACCGGGACACTACGGACTGGGCCCGTTGTAGTTGGACCAACTCCCCCCCTCCCCTTCCACGGAAGGTGGGTCTCCCACCCCGAGATACCCCCCAACCCCAAGGTTTTTGTGGTGCTGAGGTGCCACCCTCAAGCTCCCACCCGAAATACTGCGGGAGTGGTGCACCCCACCACTCCCACCCTAAATACTGCGGGAGTGGTGCACCCCACCACTCCCACCCAAAATACTGCGGGAGTGGTGCACCCCACCACTCCCACCCGAAAAATTTCCACCGATAAGCGTGTGATGTTGAAGTCTGCTACCGAAACTTTATTGTTGCACTTCCAACCATTCCAACCCAGCTGATAGTTGCTGGTCGACTGAATCATCGGCGTTCTTTTGTGTCCCACTTTGCCTACCTATTCACTACAGTCAACGATAACTACGCAGTTGATACTGCGTAGTATCAACTGCGCAGTTACGGTTCACTGTTTATAACAGAACTCCTCTTGTGGACAACGCCGTAATTAAGTCATTCAATGTGACGTATTTTAAGTGCGTATGAAGATATTCATGTGCAAAGTATATACTCATGAATGCACATATGTACATAGATATTTATTAATAGTATATATGTGTATGTATGTAGCCACATGTATATTGACATCGTATGTAACTTGTTTACAACAAAATAGCACCTAGGTTAGACAAGAAATTCTCAAAATTATAATATAATAAACAAGGGGTAAGTAATAGTGATATTGCAAATGTTGAAGCAAAAATAAATTTATCATTTTATGATTTTTACTTTATTTTGGTTTAATTAATTGTACATCTAGTCCGTATGTACGCATTGGTATTTATTTTCCTTACAATTATGAGATATCATCATCTTTGATTTCATTGTTGCAAATCGGGTGTGGAACATTCCGGCGTAATATTTCTCCAAATGATCTAATCATTGGCAACGCAGCAAAACTGAGTACGATAATGCACTTTATGCCGCTTTCTTAATTTTCTTCGTGTCATGTCCTGGTGACTGGGTGACTTTTAAACCCTTCTATCGGAAGGATCGTTTTACTAGGTAATACGTCATGGTTCCCGAGATTTTTCGATGACCTTCGTATTTTATGTACTTTGTGATGAGGAATCGCGTGGTGAAACTGGGATTTAAATTGTTTTACTCGCCAAATTTCAAACATAAAACTTAAATCTTTAATTGTCCCGTTATTTCGAAATTTATCGAAGGATCCTGGGAACCAGCGGCAGCAGCAATTGGCCATGGAAGGTATGTATGTGCCCAATCCAGTAGCGTAGCCACGATTAGATATTAGGAGGGGGCTCGGCTTAAAAACATGATTTTATCCACAAGAGTATGGTTTGCGGTCATCCAATTCCTCCGTCCCGCTGAAAATTATGCAGCATGACATGCTATTGTTAACCGTAATATTCCAGGGTAGAAATCGAACTAAAAATGTCTTATATAGATTTCGTCGGACGGACACATTTATTGAAATATGTAGGAATTATAAATTCCACTAGGATAGGTGTTGTCAACAGAAACTTTTTGTCCCAGTTGTATGTAGACATATGCGCCTTTACATCGCCTTGAAACGTAAATGGTTACCGGCAGACCTCAAGTGAATTGTTCCAGAGGCCATTAACTTTAGAAAAATATATGGTTCATAAGAATTCTGATGGGCTTTCGGTTGACCTTAGATGCATATGACCACAGAAGGTCAACGCGTAGGTGGAGCGATATTTCTACGGATGTATTGAGAAAAATGATATATCGCTTGACGTGCTGGTGTTAAATTGAAATTGCCGCCAAGGACCCCACCCCAAGAGGTGTGGTTTTTAAATTTTTAATTTGCCGTCGTAATCAGCTTTGTGAGCTGAGAAAAATTTTATGTCGCATGAGATACTTGCGTTGGATTGAAATAGCCGACAATGACCACACCCCCAGTGGGTGTGGTTTTGAAATTTTGAACAAGCGGTCGTAATCGGCTTTGTGTGCTGAGAAAAATGATATGTCGCATGAGATACTTGCCTTGGATTGAAATAGCCGACAATAACCACACCCCCAGTGGGTGTGGTTTTGAAATTTTGAACAAGCGGTCGTAATCGGCTTTGTGTGCTGAGAAAAATGATATGTCGCATGAGATACTTGCGTTGGATTGAAATAGCCGACAGTGACCACACCCCCAGTGGGTGTGGTTTTGAAATTTTGAACAAGCGGTCGTAATCGGCTTTGTGTGCTGAGAAAAATGATATGTCGCATGAGATACTTGCCTTGGATTGAAATAGCCGACAATAACCACACCCCCAGTGGGTGTGGTTTTGAAATTTTGAACAAGCGGTCGTAATCGGCTTTGTGTGCTGAGAAAAATGATGTGCCGCAAGCCAGGTATTGATAAAACTGTCGCAAAATCGCCAAAAGCCACACCCCCTCTCCCCTACGCCATACACATTAAGGTCATGGTGTACAAGTGGGGCAGACATACAAAATTACCCTCGATTACAATAGTTAATTTCAGAAACAATACTAGGAACCGACTTTATACATTTTTTCCTGTTCGGACCACACCCACAGGGACCCCACTAGAGTGGGGTGTGACCCTCTGACCTATTTTTCGATGACATGACAATGTAAATCAATTACGCAAAGAATCGGCAACTATGCTGTCTTAACTTCAATGTGGAGTTGAATGATTAGTTAGAGATATTAATCTCAGTTTTATACTTTATTACATCAATATATAGGGGGTGTGGCCGAATTTAAAAAATCTGGAAATATATATTTCGCCCAACGGTCCCACGTTTCCAAAACATCCGGAATTTTGAAAATCCATCAACAACTGACGTCAGGACAAATTTGTAAAATTTTACATATACTTAGTTATGGCCAAGTTATACTGACCTTTGACCTCTGTTGGAGGTCAAACCAGCGAAAATCTGGGGTCGGGGGTATGGAGACTTTTGTTCAGCACATCGAAGTCTACAACATATCAAAAATTCAGAAAATTCGACGGCAGGCAGTTTTCCCATAAGAAGGGTGCCTCCTCCTTTAGCAAGTTTACACAAATATGAGAGATATTTGTTAAATTCAGCAAGTTTACAAAGCCATGAGAAATATTTGTTAAATTTATCAAGTTTACAAAGCCATGAGAGATACTTGTTAAATTTAGCAAGTTTACACAAATATGAGAGATATTTGTTAAATTCAGCAAGTTTACAAAGCTATGCGAAATATTTGTTAAATTTAGCAAGTTTACAAAGCTATGAGAACTTCTTGTTAAATTTAGCAAGTTTGCAGAGGTATCTCAGAAGTTTGTTAAATTTACAAAGTTTGTAACGTAGAGTTTAGTGTATTTTGCGCGGTTTGGATAGCTGGGATTAGTTTCGCTAATTTTGCAAAGTTCGCAGCTGTGGTTAGTTTCCGAGAATTTTGCAACGATTACAAAGTTAGGCGTGGTATGGGGTAATTTTGCGTATTTGGGATGCAAACAGTAGTTTCTCTCGGATTTTGCAAGAATACGAAGCCGTGAAATACTGCTAATGATTTTGCTACTTTACGTTGATGGAATAAAGTTCATATTGATGCAAAGACGTGTTAATTTTGTAAAGTTTGCAAAGCATGAAAGACTGTGTTTCAATTCAGAATGTTTAAAAAATCTAAAAATAATTTTTGATAATTTAAAAAGTTTCCAAACTCATGATTGAATTGGCCATATTTTCCACAACCCGCAAAGAGGGTATTGATTTTAATTAATTTTACAAAGTTAATGTGAGTATACAATTACATATTTGTGTCGGCTGAATTGTACATATGCACTAAACGTATGTATGAAACAAAATTTTCCAAAACTACAAAGCCATTTCGAGTGTATGGAGCAAATTCTGATAAGATACCAAGTTTACAAAAACA